CACTCGAGGCTGCGACAAGAGGACTGCAAGTTCAAAGGCAGCCTGGGCTACACAGGAAGACCTTATCTCAAAAAAAAAAAAAAAAAAAAAAAGGAAAGAAAATTAAAAATTTAATTAAAATAAACAGCTCGTTTCTTTATAACAATTCACTTACTCAAACAGGTTTTTAAGTGTACAAAACCTACTAAAATACTTCATCAATTGGCCCCAAACTCTTTTCTCCCCCCAAAATACTTAAAGGTAGTCACAGCATATTAAATTGTTTCCTCAACAAAGTACCCTGCAGAGACAAGAGAGAAGTCAACAGGCCGTCCAAATTTTGCAGACGAGCGCCATCCTTCCCAGGAGCACCAGAAACACACTTCAGAACCACAAGCAGCAGCAGTTCGTGCGCAGCGCGAACTGCCAGAGGATGCACAGCAAAGCCGCCACCGCAGAATCCAGAGTCCCAACGACAAGAGCAACACAGAAATGCAAAGCTGAGAATGGGAAGCTGGCAGCGGAAGGAACCAGCGTGTCTGAACACTCTGGCTGGAAAAAGGAGCGAGGTAGCAGACAGACAGCTACCAACATCTACAGGTGTTGCGCCCTGGACAGAAGCGACAGGTGCGCAGGCACCCTGGACAGAGGCCCTTCACGGGACCCGGCGCTGGGTCACAGCCTCTGAGATCCTAGGCACCTTCTTCCTAAAGCGAGTAGCCTCTCTGCCTAGGAGCTTAAGGAGATCGCCTGGCTGCAGGCTCCGCTCCCGTTCTCATTCGCTGAAACCACGGTCGCCCAGCTAGGTCAGAGGGCAGGGCTGCCTCTGTCAGGCTGGCAGCCGGCCCTCGGCGTCCTGCCCACACGAGGCGCGCCGTAAACACGGGCCGAATGCAGGCTCGCACTGACAGGTGCTGTGCTGGGAACGGAGGAGAAGAACACGCAGGGCCCCGGAACCCCAGCGGACGTGTATTGAGCGTACCCCTGACTCTAGAAGCTTTGTGTGCGTGTTCACGTATTTTCACATTTCACCCCTCGCGGGGAGCCCTGTCGATGAGCGATCTTACAGAGGAATCGCAGGCAGGCTTGCAAGGTGCCCTCCGGTGACCCGACCTGCAAACGACGGCTCGCTAATCGTCACCAGGGAATGTGACTCCTGGGCAAAGCTCCCGGGAGCCCGAGGCGCAGTGCAGGCATCAGAGCGGGAAAGCGGCGGGGAACGGGGGTCTGGCCGCTCTCTGCAGGTCTTCCCGGGGCGCAGCGGGGCAGCCTCCCCGGGAGGCGACGCTGGCCGAGGCTCGAAGGAGACGGCGCTGCAGGCGGGGCTGGGAACCGACG